AAGAAAGAAAGAAAGAAAGAAAGAAAGAAAGAAAGAAAGAAAGAAAGAAAGAAAGAAAGAAAGAAAGAAAGAAAGAAAGAAGGAACTAAGGAAGGAAGGAAGGAAAGAGAGAGAGAGAGAAAGAAAGAAAACAAAACAAAAATAGAAAATAAAAAAATAAAGACAAGCCTCGGTGGCTAGATTTGTAGGAAGAACAAACAGGAGCAGACCTTTGTACATATCAAAACCCATGAGCAGGGAAAGGGGGTTAAAATCCCCTGAGTACCCCAGAAGCAGGGGCCAGCTGAGGCGGTGGCTGTCTTGTTGGGAAGCTCTGACTGAAGATGGCAGTTAAAACGTGCCATGGGACTTGCCTGGTACGATCAAACTATTCGTCATTTAAAGTGGTGATTAGAGAAGCAGGGCCTAGAGCCAAACAGTTTGGACTTAAATCAACCCACCCACTTACTAATGACCTTTGACACGTCACCGAACTTCCCCATTTCCTTATCTGTAAAGCCAGGATAATAACAGTACCTTCCTCAGAGGGAACTTGGGACTAAATGAATTAGTGTTTATGAGCAGTGCCAGTCAGGAGAAACACTTCTTGAAAATTACCAAAAAGACGTTTATCGGTGACCGTAGAGACCAAATCTAAGCAACGCAATCCCTAACAGTCCCGGCACCTCTCTCAGGGTCTCATTTTCCTACGCACAAACCACGGAGGTTGGACTAGTCACCCCTGGCACGGCCAGCTTTACTTCCCTGTGGATTTGGAGCCTGACATGGGTGTGCCCGGCCCAGTGGTGTAGCCGAGTGAGCCTTGTGAACTTTTAAGGGCCAGCTATTAAGTGCTCAGGAACTTACAAGATGGTACAAGCGAAAGTAAGTTGAACGAGCTATGGTGGGAAGGTTTACACTTCAGGAACGGGGTAAGAACTTCAGATGGGCCTTCTCGCCCCGCCCCCCCCCCCCCCCGCCAAATTGAGACTCGCCACTACCCAGCTCTAGACACATATAGTCTCTGCCCTAAACTCCAGGGGTGCCACAGACACCCCCGCCCCCCCAACCGGTACACCTCTCTCCACAAACTCAGATATTCACACAGCGGCTGGCAGAACTGTGGCCTGCTGTTTCCTTAGCCTTTCTCACACGTGGGGGCGGGGATGCGGGGAGTGGCCAAAGTGCTAAGTCTCACTGAGATGATGAAGCTTCTTCACTTACCCTTCTCTTCCATCACTCTTTGCCATGTGACTTTAGCCACATCCTTTTTAACGCTAGGTTGGTGGGTTTTTTTTTTGGGGGGGGGGGGGTTGTTTTTTTCTGTTGTTGCTTTTTTTGTTTTTCGAGACAAGGTTTCTCTGTGTAGCCCTGGCTGTCCTGGAACTAACTCTGTAGACCAGGCTGGTCTTGAACTCACAGATCTGCCTGCCTCTGCCTCCAGAGTCTTGGGATTAAACCATGAGCTGCCTTAGCCTGGCTGCTAGCTTGGGTTTCGATTTTTTTTTTTTTTTTTAATCTTTAAGATAGAGACAGTCCTTCCATGACACAGGGCTCCGCATGTTCAATGAGGACACTATGAACCTGTGCCAAGCCAGCATAAGGCACGTGGTACAGAGTAAACAGCCAAGCCTATTATCGTATTCTCAGACACACTGTCTCGCTCATTGGCACCTGTGGCTTTGTGCGCCCATTGACTCTCTGGGTCTCATCGCAAAGGGCTCCACGGATGACTGAAAACACAGATGGAAGCAAGTGGATTTGTTTTCCAGTTTTTATGAAAATTAATAACATTAATAGCTCACAGACATATACATACACACATCACTATATACATAGTCATTAAGTTATTAATTAGTCTCTGTATAAAACGTTTCTACATTAGTGTTCCGAGCTAGGCCCGGCCAGTCCTTGGCATATTCACAGTGGCAGCCCTAGGGCTTGGCCCTGTGGGCCGGCAGTGAGAAGGCTACAGAGCGGCCAGCCCTGCAGTGAGCACGTATGTCCCGGGCCGCTCGCTCACCCTCCAGTCCTTGGTCCCTGTCTTGAACACAGGGAGAACAGCTGCTCAGTGCAAGGGCAAAAAGATCCCGTGCCTAATGCTACCTGGTACCCGGGGTCCTTTGTGTGGTGGCTTCAGGCAATGTGGCAGGTCCTAGAGAATGCTGGCCAGCTCTGTGGAGTCTGTGTCAGAGCAACCTGAGCTGCTGGCTTCATCTCTGCAAGAGTAAGAGGAGACAGGTTGGAGGAAGAAGCGTCTTTACTCTCCCCTGCTGCCACCTGCCTTCGGAGCCATGGCCCCAGAGTCCAAGCCAGCTGTCAGCCTTGTCTAAAACCACAAGACAGTTTGCTCACTCCCACTGTTGGCCCAGAAACTGCTGGTTGCTATTCCTGCTGAACGAGGGACACCGCAAGCAAACCTCAGAGGGCCATTGGCCCTGACTGGCTGACGTGGCGGCGTGGGTCACTCTACCCTGCTCCACCCTGCTCTATCATCTGGTCACATCAGAGAGCCTGTGTGCCAGAAGGGCACCAGAATACATATTGCAGCTAGAACACAGGGCAGGGCTCAAAGCCTGATCCACGTTTCCTGGCTAAACTTCGATTGTCTTCATCGGCAGGAGAGGATTCACAAGAATCTTGCTGCGGGGGTGGCTGTCATCCCAGCACTTAGGAGGCAGAGCCAAGTCAGTTGTGTCGGTATCAAACAACCAGATTGATATTGGCCTGAGCTAAGTGAGACTACGCTTCAAAAAACAAAACAACAAAACACCTCAGCTGCCTAGGGATGGGTTATTAGAGAACTAGGGGATCCTGGAAGCATACTTTTAAACACAGCATCTTCGGGACAGGGAGTTTTTTGTTTTTTTTTTTTTAGGGACAGGATCTCTCTACATACATAGCCTTGGCTGTCTTGGAACTCACTGTGTAGACCAGGCTGGTCTCAGACTCATGAGATTAAAGGTATGTGCCACCATGCCCAGCTTGGTTTTGTTTGCCCTACCACAATGCTGACACTCCGAAAGTGTACGTTGGGCAGGGCAGTAGTGGACATGCCTATAATCCCAGCACTCAGGAGGCACAGGAAGGCGGATCTCTGAATTCCAGGTCTGCCTTATATACCGAGTGAGTTCCAGGACAGACAGGGATACACAGAGAAATTCTGGAAAAACAAACAAACCAACAAACAAACAAACAGGAAAGTGTTTGTTGCTTGTTGAATAAACACCTACAAAGGCAAAGGGCAGCCAGTGTGGTCCCTAGCGTGTAGCGAAGAATGTCTAGATTTGTCCACTGGCAGCCTAAATTGAGAGCTTATGGCTGCCCGCCCTAAGCCCAGGTCTCACCGTAGCGCCTGCAGGGCCTTCTTGTTCTGTCGCCGCCTCTCCTCATCAATGGGGTACAGCTTGAAGAGCAGCAGGCCCAGCAGGATGAGGATGATCGGAGCCATGGTCACCAGCATCTTCAGTGTAAACTTGACCTGTTCTGGCTGGAAGCATCCCTGCGTCTGGTACTCAGCAAAGCTGTTGGGACCCAGTGGGCAAGGAGTGGTGAGGCTTGAGTACCCGGATCCTACCTCTGTCCCCAAGCTTTGCCCAAGACTCACAGGCCACTCACTCAAGACTGAGGGTGGACACGCCCAGGGAAACTCCAGAGGCAAACTTGGTGAAGAAGACATAGAAGGAAAAGAAGATGGGCTCGGTGCCGGGGGACTGAGGGTGTTTCAGGCGGAAGTCATCGATGACATCAGGCAGCATGGACCTGCGCAGAGTGGGTGGCAGCTGTGAGTCACTACCCTCCCCTGACACCAGCCCATGCGGTGTCCAAGTCAATGAGCAGGAACTGCCCTGTGGGAGCCTAAAGTGAGGGGGCTAGCTCTCCATGTGAGAACAGACCCATCTATCAAGATGAGGCCCACTAGGCATTCTGCTTGGCAAATAGAGGGCAGGCTAGATGGCGCACCGTTCACAAGCTCTGTGACTGGATCAGGTAGACCCACCTCATCCCAGACCCACAGAAAGGCAGGAGGAGAAGCCACCAAAGCGCTCTCCCCAGCTGGAGGGTGTTGGCCGGGGAATATACTTGGTGATCCTCTCTATACCTACCAGGGTAGTAAGAAGGCAGCCGCTACACTGACACCAGCCGCTATGGCCACCACGTAAGTGACGATTAGATTACTCTTCATGAGGGCCACCAAGATGAGAAAAGGAACTGCTGACTAGGACAGAGAGCGCAGGACGATGGGTCACCGAGGAGGCTCCCATCTGCGACCCCCTATACACCCCAATTCAACCAATTGAGCCCCACTCACTGAGATCCCGACATATACAGCTGTCTTCTTGCCAAACCGGGTTAGGAACCACTGCCAGATGGGGATGGTGAAGGTGGCCGAGAGCTATGAGCAACCAAAGAGGGTGAAGGGGGTGAGTTGTTGCTGCAGAGACCTTCATGCCCTTTGCAGGCCCCAGATGATGCCCCCAGGCCAGCCACTGGAGGTGAGAAAGTTAACAGGCATGCCTGATGGTTTCCCAGGGGAGCTGAGAGTGTGCAGGCTTCCCACCTTTCCGTAACTCTTAATGCAAAGCTCCACAAAGTTGTTGGCACTCTTGATTTTAGTATGCTGTGCTTTCTAACCATCTGGCTTCTGATCATTCTTTCCCAACTCTCCCTAAGCAATTGTAGGTGAGGTCCAGGGAAACCTCCCTCATCCCCTTCATGATGGGGAGCAAAGTACCATCCAGATGCGTACTTCATCAGCGAACCTTACGGCCTGCACTCACCATGATGGCCAGGAGCAGGTTCTGGAACTCGTTCCGAAACCCCAAAGTATAGGTGCAGAACAAGGCAAAGTTGCCCTCCACCAGCTGAGGGATGAAGAAGGACAAGACAATGAAGCGAAGGAGGTGGCTCGGGGATTCCAGAGGCCTCTACTCGCCTCACTCCCTCCTGCCTGCCCCTCAGCCTTGAAACAGTCCTAACCTTCTCCAGCCCCACCTATTAGACTTCTGTTAGAATGAGCAGCTCAGGTCCCCACTCACCATGAAAGCCAGGGAGGTGAAGAGGAAGCCTGCAATGAGCTTGACATAGGGGCCATGACTCATGACCAGCCGGAGGCCCTGAAAGAAGGGCATCGACTCGGCCTGCTGGGCCTCATAGGGTTCTACGGATCAGAGAGGATAATGAGGAGGGAGCAGAAGTCCCTCCCCAAGCCTGGGGACCAGGCAGAAGGGAACTACTGCTCCCCTCAACTGTGGGCGGAACCCTTCCCAGCACGCTCTTTCTCACCTCTCTGCTCCCGCACTCCTAGAATCAGAATGATGGCGCAGATGACGTAGATGGAGGCGATGATTCCTGCTGCCAGCAGGTATGCATTTTGCTATGACATACAGAGACAGGGTCAGTCTGGCCTCAGCCCAGCAGCCCCACTCCACGATCTCAGGCCAGGCCTCTCTCCCGTGGGGGCCTCACTGTCTCCATCTGTGAGCCAGGAAGACCATCCTGGACCTGCTGCTGCTTCCCAAGGCTGGGCTAAGTCCAAGTATACAGAACGTTACACGGCCAGACTACGTAGTGCGTGAGCCCACAGCCCCGAGTCTTCCCGCATCCCTGCCACTCATGAGGACCCTGGGCAAGACGCCTGGCCTCCCCAGGCTTCACTTTCCCTGTCTATAAAGTGGGTATATGTACATACTGATACTTACATTTACCAAATGCCAACTGATTAGTAACACTAGCTATTATTACTACTTTTCAGGATAACTGCAAACCACCCCATTTACACACACACACACACACACACACACACACACACACACACACACATCTCTGCCCTACCCAGGGGCCTCACCGTTTCTTTGAGGGAGGAGGCATTCTGTGTATGGTTGACAACTTCTGAGCTCACTGCAGAGCCATTCTGGTCCTGGAGACAAGGCGCATTGGCTTGGCCCACAATTTGTCCTTGGATTGCTGTGCCTATCACTGTGCCCAGCACCTCCACAGTCATCCCTAGGCAGGGAAAAGGTCTTTCTTTTTGGATGGGCCTCATGGCTGTAGGCCCAGAGAGGAAGATCGGGTGGCTGGGAGCCACCCTTAGCTCCAGGTAAGATGGGCTAGAGGGCAGGGCAGATGACATTTCAGCCTACATTCATGGCCTTTCTCTGTGTGACCTTCAGGTTAGTCCCTTTACCTCTCTGGGTCTCTTGAGTGATAAAGGAAGTGAGTTTTTTTTTTTTTTTTTTTAACAGGCTTTCATGGGCTGGGGATATAACTCAGTGGTTAAGTGACTCGAAGACACAGGGCTCTGGGTTGAACCCCCAGAGTCACAGAGAAAGGGGACAGAGGGAAGGGGTTTCACACACACACAGGAGAGTAGAGCAAAGAGCTGGGCCTGTATAGTACAAGGTGTGGGAGGGAAATCAGGAGCAGATAGGACTAGGGACGCCTGCAAACAGGACCATGCTGATGAGGAAGGGACTTACTATAGGCAGTGGCCGAGTCCCGCTCACTCTGCTCTGTGCTGATGAACATGGTGAGTGCGGAGTAGGGAACGTGGAAACACTGTTGTGGAAGAGAAAGCTCTTGGCTGGTTAGATGGATAAGACAGGCGGAGGCCCCCAGGGCCCACCCTCGACCCTGCTCCTCACCAAGGTGCCAAGCGGAGGGGCCCACACTCACCGTGACCAGTGTCTCAAAGAGACAGTAGAAAAGCAGGTACCAAAGGAACCCATGCGACCTTTCCATCCCTGGAGGGAAGTCAGGCACAAACCAGATGAGGAAGTAGGCAATGATAGCCAGAGGAGTGGAGAAGATGATCCTGAAGAAGGGAGAGGGTGTGAGTGGAGAATTCCAGGGGCCAGAATCTGCTCCACAGGTGCCCATCAACAGAGAAGGAAGTCTGAGTCCTCCCTATCCAGAGCCTCAGGGGATGAGACAGATGGCCACACCTGAAGGACTCACTGGGACAGTTCCTGGACCGAAATCTTGAGCAGGGAGCTTGAAGGGGTCAGAGAGCAAGGAGCATGAGTCAGACTCTGAGTCCCATGCATGTTTTTTCTGGATTAATAGTCCCAGTGAAGGGGGTAGTCCAGCACCCTCTGTGCATCCTTTGGACACACACAGGAGAGCTGGACTGGGTGGGAGGGGCCTCAGAAGAGAACCAGGCTCAGTCACAGATAAGGGGGTTGGAGGGCACAACTGTCTGGCCCACGTGCGGGCCTAAACCGTCGTGAGTGGCAGATCAACCCCACGGCATCAGCAGAGGAAGTGGAGTGCAAAGGTAAAAAGGAGGGCCTCGGGCCAGCAAGATGGCTCAGCAGGTAAGGCACTTGCTGCCAGGCCTGACACCTGAGATCTATCCCTGGGACAGGCATGATGGGAGGGGGGAAACAACTTCCCCCAGTTGTCCTCTGGCCTCTACACGCTGCGCTGTGACATTTCACATGCATGCATATACACACACTGCACACAAAATAAATATTTAAAAATGGGGGCGCCCTGATAAACTTCTGGGATCTAATTCTGCGTCTGCCACTAACTATAAAAACTTAACTTCTCTGAGACTCATTTCTTCACATATAAAATGAAAATAAGAAATAGTACACCGTCTACCTTCAACATTTACCCCAATATTTATGAAGCGTGATTATGTGCTAGGAACCATTCTGACTGCTGAAGATGTAGCAGTGAAGAAAAAGACACCATTGCTCTTGTAGAACTCATTCTAGTTGGCAAACAACAAAAAAAATTACGTTATTTGGTCCTAAGATTAAAAATCTTGACACATGCTACAACACAGGACCGTGAGGAATGGCCAAGTGAAATATGACTGTCCTTAAAAGATGAATATTGTACAGTTTGATTTAGAAGGGGTCAACAAATCTAAAGTTTTATACCTGGCTTTGCTAGATTTGTCAACTGCTAAGGGCACTTACAGAGCCTGAAGACCTGAGTTCAAATTCACAGAACCCATATGGCAGAAAGAATCAACCCCTGGAAGTTGTCCTGACTTACACACCACACACACATATGCACACACAAACACACAAACACCCTCCCTGTGCTGGCTGACAAGGGGAGGAAGGAGTAGGGATTATCTTTTGATGAACTCAAAGTTTTGGTTGGAGAAGACCAAATGGGTGGTGGTAGCTCATGTCTTTAATCCCAGCACTTGGGAGGCAGAGGCAGGTGGATCTCTGTGAGTTCGAGGCCAGCCTGGTCTACAAAGTGAGTCCAGGACATCCAGGGCTATTACACAGAGAAAGCCTGTCTTGAAACATCAAAAATAAATAAATAAATAAATAAATAAATAACAGCAACAACAAAAGGTATCGGGATGGAAGGCAGTGGTGGTCACACAAGGATGTGACTATACTTAATTCTACTTCATGGGGCACCTTAAAAGGCTACAATGAGCTGGGGTGATGGTAGAGGTCTGTAATCCCACATTCAAGAGACAGAGGCCAAAAGATCTGGGTTCAAAGTCAGCCTGGGCTACACAGTGAGGTCTGTTTTTTAAAAATGAAGGGCACAGGGCAGGAGAGATGACTTTGAGGTTAAGAGAACTGCCGGCTCTTCCAGAGGTCCTGAGTTTAATTCCCAGCAACCACATGGTGGCCCACAACCATCTATAATGCGATCTGGTGCCCTTTTCTGGTGTGCAGGCGCATATGCAGAATGAATACTGTATACATAATAAGTAAATAATTCTTTAAAAAAAAAAGTGAAGGGCACAGGGCCTGGAGGGATGGCTCAGCAGTTAAAAACACTTGTTCTCAGTACCCGCATGGCGGCTCACAACCATTCATAACTCCAGTTTCAAGAGATCCAAGGCTCTCTTCTGACCTCCTCAGGCACCAGGCACAGACATACATGCAAGCAAAACATTTACACACATTCTATATTCTATACTGTTGGTTTTGCTTTTTCATTGTTGTTGTTTGTTTTTTTTTGAGACAGCGTCTATGTAGCCCGGTCTATCCTGGAACTCT